TAAAAAAAGAGCATGCATATTTGTGCAAAGGACCAATGACACTGAAGAATAGGGCCCCTACCAAAGTTGAAATCAAACCTACGCCCTTGCATATTTCTTTCTATCTACATTATTTCTTTTTAAGTTTTACTTTTTGTAATGAGTGACAAAAAATGGAAAGTTTAAATTTCAACCATCTAAAATAGAAAGAATAATGATCAGAAAATTAAACTAAAAAACTGAACCCAAACTAACAGCAGTAAAGTATCTCTGGAAACAGATTCCAGCCCAACAGGTCCGACCTCAACCAGTCAGAGCCTTTAAACCAGATCTGCGGCAGGAAATCAATGAGTTCTGAGAAAGAGAGCGGTCCAATATTTAGTCAGAAATCTGCTTCATGGCTACAGAGGTCTATGGCTTCTCTGCAGCATGGAGCAGGACATGTCGCATTGATCTGACCATCAGACATCACCAAACAAGCTGCAGAGTTCATGGGGGCTCCTACCGGTGTAAAAGATGTGGTCGAATCGGTTCTGCAGCAGAGCCTTTGTTTGCTCCGATCCTCCTCGAACGACGGCGTAACAGTCCTGTGGAATCAAAGCTGCAGTCAGTGGATTCTACTGTGACACGAAGCCGTGGCTCCCTGCAGAGTTAACAGCTGCAAACTGGTTTACCTGATGCAGGTACTTGGGAATGAGCTCGGCTACCAGACTCTCTGTGGCGGCGCTGATCTCTGAAGGCTTGATCACCGCACAGTTTCCTGCCAGACGTTAGCAGAGGACGGTTAGCGGACGCCGAGGCGCTCACATTTTAAAGACATGGAAAAACGCTTCCTCAGAAATAATGTGGTTTTTTTTTCCATGGTTTCTCCACAGTCTGGAGGATTTAGATCCTTTTGGAAGTTTCTAGAAGTTTGCAGATCATTTTTTTATGATGTAATGATGTATTTCCATTACATCAGTAATCACAGCTTCATCCATTTAAGTTTATAACTGAAGATATAAGCAGAAAGTCCAAGTGATTTTGTCCATGTTGCCTTTCTGGTATTTTTAACAGAATATCACTAACTTAATTGTAAAGATAACCAAAAATAGACAGAATTAAACAGTAATGGGGATTGCACCACCTCGACTAATATTGCGGATCTTTTTAATTCTGTAGAGAAGCAGGATGTGTGGTTTCTAATGGCGACGCTGCAGATCCTGCTCCATGCGTATAAACTACTGTAGTTTGGGCATCCTGCGCCCTCAGGCTGCCTCAACGCGCCGTAAACAGTTCTATTGCTGATATTAGGCTCACCGCTTCTGTCAGTGAGCCCCAAGGCAGCTGTGGCTACAATGTAGCTTACCACCATCAGTGTGTGAGTGTGAATGGGTGAATGAATGTAGTGTAAAGCGCCTTGGTCAAGTCTCCTGACTTGAATAAAGGCGCTATATAAGTACATGCCATTTACCATTTTACTTTGGTTTTGAAGCCAATAATTTAACCCCTTGAAGCCTGAATTGATATATATTTACATAAAGACATTTTATGTGTGTTTTCCCTTCAATTAGATGCCAAATTAAAATGGTTAATGTTACTAAATAAATGAAAATGAAGGTAAAATATATTTTGTAACAGTAGTTATAACTACATAATAACACACACTGTGGCTAAGCAGTGGGGTGATGCAAAAACGCCATGCTGGCTGCTTGTCTAGACTGCAAAAATGTTCCAAAATAAATAAAAATGTCTTAAATTGAGTGTATTTACCCTTTAATTTAGTAGGAAATAAGATGATTTGCCAAAAGAATGAGAATTCTTACCATTAAAATAAGATAATTAGAGAGTATGCACTTAAAATAAGAGACTGCAGTTGTTGTTTTTTTCTTATTTTAAATGTACATAGTCTTGTTCCAATGGCAAAGTGTCTCACTTACCTGCTCAAATCAAGAAAAAAATGCTCCTATTTTAAGAAAAATTGACTTACTTAGATTTACATTTTTTGCAGTGTAATACAAGCGGTTTGTTGCTTATTAGCAACAACAGGCATCTAAGCGTTAAGGAATGGATTTGCTGATTAAACAGTAAATGTTTTCCTCCTCTGCTCTGTATTTAATTATTCATTAAATGGTTCACCAAAGGTTATCGACTTCACACTGCAAAAAAATTTAAATCTACATAAGTAATTTTTTCTTAAAATATGAGCATTTGTTCTTGAATTGAGGTGGTAAGTGAGGCATTTTGCCAATGGAGCAAGACAATTTACATTTAAAATAAGAAAAAACAATTCCATTATCTTATTTCAAGTGCATATTGTCTAATTATCTTATTCTAAGAGTAAAAATACTCATTCTGTTGGGAAATCTCTTAATTACCAACTCAAACAAAGGGTAAATACGCTTAATTTAAGAAACTTTTACTTATTTGTAGATCATTTTTCCAGTGCATGACATTTTCATTCCAGTTCTTTCTAAAATCCAGGTGTGCAGACCTGCAGCGATGGCTCCCACTAGTGGCAGAATCAGGAGTTGCAGTGGGTAGTTCCACGGCCCGATAATGAGGACGACTCCTAAAGGTTCCCTCCGGACAAAACAGTCGTCTAGTTTTGTGGCCTGCAGAGACGGAGGAGAGAGAAGAAGGACATCAGATTAACAACAAGCAGGGTCACAATATTCTGCTTTGGAGAGAAAATTATTGTTGGTTGTTTTTTTTTTTTTAAGGAAAGCTTCCCGTATTTTTATAGATCGCCTAACACTTTAAGAGCAACGTCTCAACTTTACAACCAAATTTAAAGGTCTATCATTTCAGATTAAATCAGACTAGAACAGATTAATTCCTGCAGCAGTACAGACTACCAGACTTCCCTCTCCGCATTCACCTCCTCCAGCTCCACTGGAAGAAACCTGCAGTGTCCTCAGGCTAGCCACAAGACATACTGGTAGTCCTTGGGCTTCCTCCCGGTGGTAAGTGCCTGGAACACCTCCCAAGGGTGGTGTGTAGATTAGAAAAAGATGTTCGAGCTACGTGAGGTGGACAAATCGCGTATTTTTTCGGTGGAGAACCATGGCTTTGTACTTGGAGGAGGGGATTCTCCTCCCGGGCGCCTCACACCTGCCTGCAAACTGCCCCAGTGTACGCTGTAGGTCTGGTAGGAGGGAAGCCAGCAGAACCGCATCATCCGCCAAAAGTTGGGCTGCGATCCGCCGGTCCCAAAGCAAAACTATTCAGTCCCTTAGTGGCGCCTAGACATTCTGTCCATTAAGGGTTCCAGACAGCACCGGTGACAGAGAGCGGCGCTGCTCGAGTCCAACATGCAGGGAGAGGTCCGACTGAATGCCGGCAATGAGGATTAAACTCCTGCTCCACTTTTAAAGAGACCGGATGGACCCTAGTAAAGGGCCCCTGACTTCATACTCCTGAAGAGCCCCCACCCCCCATAAGGCACCACGAGGGACCAAGTTAAACGCCTTCCAAAGGTCTATGAAGCACATATGGACCGGTCGGTCAAACTCCCATGAACACTGGAGCACCCTGTGAGCTAGAGCTGGTCCACGGTTCCACAGTCATGAGGAAAACCACACCGCTACTCCTGAAGCCAAGGTCTAACCATCAGCCGGACTCTCCTCACCAGGACCCTTAACTAGACCTTCCTGGGGAGGCTGAGGAGTGGGATTCCCCTCTAGTTGGAACACTCTCTGCTCCGCTTTATTTTTTATTTTTTTTTAGCTTTTATTGTCATTCCACTGTCACAAGAACAGAGCAACGAAATGAACTCTCTGCATTTAACCCATCCCTTTGGGGAGCAGTGGGCTGCAATTGTGTGGCACCTGGGGAGCAGTGAGGGGTTAAGGGTCTTACTCAGGGACCCAGAGTGGCAGTCTGTGGGAGTGGGACTCAAACCCAGAACCTCTGGATCCCAGCAGTGTGTGGCAGTGAGCTTGCCACAGATATTTTAGATTTATGCCCAATATTGAAGCCTGGTCTGTGCTGTTATTCCACAACACAACAGTAATAATCAGGAACTCGGTGTGGGTCTAGATACGGCGAGGAAATGGGGGGGCAAGTTGGTGCAACAATGGAGGGACATGAGGGCCAAAAAGAGCAGAGATCCAGGTGGAAAAAGCGTCCATCGCGCACCTCGCTCTTCAAGCTGCTCCATCTTCACCAGTCGTTTTCCACAACGGCGGTCAGACAAACAAAACAAGCCGGTAAGAAACCAAACAGGAAATATGCAGAGTCATGACATTCAGCCATATAATAGGGTGTGTTTACTTAAAAAGCTTTTCTGAAACCCTTTAAAATATCAATACCAGAACGTCTCAGGGAAAAATGACTTTCATTTTAATAGTCATCACATGTTCATGATGCTTGCCTTGTTTTCAAGGCCATAAACAGACTTATTTCTCCTCCTTTCAGGGATTTTATAAGCAAAAAACAAACAGAATAAAAACTAAGAGCTTTGACCAGAGGAGACTACAACAAATACTGGTGATGGTGTAAATATGGCTGCATGATGACCTCCATCAGAAGCAGCTCATGCCAGGATCTCACCTCAGCTTTAAAAACGCTTTGTTTGGAAGCTAACCAGGCATGTGCTCACAGGTATGCGGTCTGTTTTTCTAGGCCTGATCTGTGTGTGTGATCTGTAATTTCCGTAGACCGTCTGGTTTAATGTTTCTTGTCTTTACCTGCCTCAGGGCAGCAGATGGAAACCTGCTGTTTTACTAACTAAAGCATGTTTACAGCGATGTTTGAAGCCAATATCTTAATCCATGTGCTTTGTCCACCTGTCCAATTTGATTCATTTTAAAGATTTTTGCATAAACCGTCACCTTGGATCAAAATGCATCTTTTTTTGCTGCCATTCTTGACAATCTTACAGAAAATAAACTCTGAATGCCAGACTACATATTGACTCTTAACACCAACCTCATTTGAGGTAATCCTCCCCTATTTTTCATACCCAAACGGAACAGCAAATAACTGAGGAACTGTAAGCCCAAATTAAATGTGTGATACATGATTTGAAGGCTAACACCTTCAAGGTGTTAGAAGGTGTTACTTTTTCCTCAAAATAACTTTATTCGCCCTTAATTTGAGCAGGTAAATAAGGCAAAGAAACATTTTTCCCCTTAAGACACAATAATTAGATGACAGTTGTTTTTTCCTACTTCATACTGTTAGCAAAACATTGAAAAGTTATTCAAATAAAGGCATATTTAATAATGGCCGCTCACACTGAGCCTGGTTCTGATGGAGGTTTCTTCCTGTTAAAAGGGAGTTTTTCCTCTCCACTGTCGCTACAAGCATGCTCAGTGTGAGGGATTGTATTCTAGTCAATACAATCAACTGGTTTTCCTAAGATAGAAAACTTTGAATCAATCTGATGAACTGTAAAGTGCCTGACATGACATGATGTGAATTGGTTCTATAGAAATAAACTGAATTGAATTCTGCAGCAATTCCCTCTCTATTCAGTGCATCACTGGATCCCAGCTGAACTCACCAGGTTTTTGGTCACGTACTCTGGCTGCATCCAGGTAGAGATGTTGGAGATGGCGTGATGCAGCTCGTTGATCACTATATCCACCTCGGAGAGGGCGCTCTCAAATTTGGGCTGAAATGCAGGAGCAGCAGTGCAAACAGACGTTAACCTCGGCAGAAAGCGTGAGCGCCCACCACGTATCACACGTGCAGCTTGAAAAACAAACGTCAGTAAAAATGTTAAGTATAGTTGCACAAGCAGTTCACTAAGCAGATGTGTTCTGAGTTCAGGGTGGCTGCAGCAGGCGTTTAAAATTTTCCTCTTGCATCATCAGCAGGACAGCAAGACGAGTAAATCCCTCAGGCTTTGGTTGCGCAACTATGACAGTGACTGGGTCATGTGCCGGTGCATGTGCAGCTCTGCCACACAGGTGTCATGTACCTTTGATAAATCTTGGTGCAAAGCTTTCATAATGCTGTCCTCGTTCTCTCTGATCATGGACATGAGCTGGGTGATCTGCGCCCGGCGGAACTCCTCCGGTAAGGTGAGGCCCGACCTGAAGGCCGTCCGCAGCCGCTCCAGAACGTCTTTATGGGAGTCCATCCTGCACCTGGACACACTTCTGGAAGGTTGAAATCATGAACAGTGAAACAGGCTTGGAGCTTTGTTCTCGTTAAATAAACAGGGAACAGCTGAGAGATCATTTTTCTTTTTAAGACAGTATTTCACATGGGGTAATAAAACCAGATGAGCCTGTCTGGGTGATTCAGCAAAACACACAGATTATAGAAATGCATATAGAAAGTTCATTTGTACAAAAAAAACATTAACTTTGACCTAATGGAAAAATATAAGACAACAATGCAGGATTGGCTGTGAGAGGAAACCATGACCGGTTCCTAACAAAGGCAGAAAGAAAAGCTCAGCAGGAATGCTCCTCATTTGGCAATAGGTCACACAGAAGTTGGCTTCAGCTTTGTCTGGAAAAGCTGGATTATGACAGAGAAAAATCTAAAACACCTAACAGGATCATACTACACCGAAGTTTTTTTCAAAAATAAAATCTATGATCTGTACAAGATTTAATAACGACCTTTCAACACATCGTTTAGCTTCTTTTTTCTTTTTTAAATACCTTTCAAATAATGATTTCCAAAAAAACTAATTAGAATCCTAATTATCACACATCTGTCTGCTCAACTTCTCTATTGGTCAGAAAAGTTTAAAAGAAGAAAAAATAAATGCTAATTATAAAGTTTTAACCCAATTTCTCCAGCAATTATCCAGCCTTTATACACTCAGCCAGTCCTATCCAAATATGTGATGTAGTCACCTGATATTTATGGTATTATTAATCACACTCAACAAACTAAAACCTCAGATTTTAAACACTTTTAATTTGACGGCTTCATAAATCAAACATGTTGCAGCAGAGATTCTGTGCTGAGGCAGGAAAAGCAAAGTTAGTCCAGTTAGATTTCAGGATTATTATGGAAAAAAGGAGCTAATGGAGGAAAACTGAAACCATCAACAAAGGAGATAATGAAGGGCAGCGGAAAGCTTCCTGGGACTTTTACAGAAAAGATTTAATAATATATGCAATCACTCAAATTTATTTTATCCGTTTAAAAAAAAAGAGTCATACTTTCTTTAATCTGAAGATCCTCTGAATCAATGAAACCAATTTAATCTGGATCCAACTGAGGTTAAAATTTTTATGCCAAAGAAAATTGAAATCGTTTTATGTTTTCACAGGAGGCTAAGAAATATTTTATTTGTAGTTTAATCCAGTTTAGATCTGATTTGGATCAGTATTTATAAGAATTACTGTTTTCTAACCCGAGTCGGCCTCAGCAGACACACACTGAGCCTGGTTCTGCTGGAGGTTTTTTCCTGTTAAAACAGAATTTTTCCTCTCCACTGTCACTACAAGCATGCTTAGTGTGAGGGATTGCATTCCAGTCAATGAGTTGATGCAATCAACTGGTTTTCCTTAGATAGAAAATGCATGATCTGGTTGAATTGTTTCTGTAAAGTGCCTTAAGGTGACATGTTTTGAATTGGCGCTATAGAAATAAACTGAATAGAATTTAAATTGTTGAAGCAGACTTTCAACACCAAATCTGATGCCAACTTCAGAACCTAAGCTAATTTCCCAGAAACATGTTTAGTTTCTGTTAGCCAGCCCTGGGTGAGCACGGGCTGCTCCGAAACAACGATTTTATTCAGAGAAACTGATTTTTTTTAAATTACCCACGAGAGTCTCGCGCGCATGAATGACCGAAACATGAGAGCAAACAGCGGCTGATTATGAGCAGCTTCACCGGGACGATTAGAGCCAAAAGCAGCTCAACGAGCACCAAGAACATGAGATAAAATACAAACAATAACCTTTACTAGCTCAAAGTTAGCAGGAAACTTTAAACCACGTGACTAAAAGCTTTTCTTTCCTCTATTTTGCTTTAGGACCAAACAACCCGCCCTTTGTTTTAATGTATCCTTCCGCGGTTTATTCGTTAAAACATGAAATAAACGCAAATCGCGGTTGAAGCTGCGATTGTTTTTTACCTGCTGCTGCGCCGCTGGTTTCTGCCGAGTATCAGAGCCGTCAGCAGCCGCCGTGACGATCCGGTCTCAGGTGAGGACTTGCTGTTTCCGGGTGCTGCTTCCTCTACCGGTATCGGTTCTATTCCACTCGGGAGGTGGGACCTAGTTTTTGCCTGAGCTGGAAAAACTCGCCGTGGAACTCGTCAGGCGAGAGATCCACGGCGTGGCTCTTCCCCACAGCCTGCTGGCCCCCAGGGGCCTCTAAACACTAAATAACCATCAAACTTTTACTAATCAAATCAATAAAAACCTGCAGATCAAACACAGTCCTTCTGCTTCTCTGAACAGTAATTTTACAATCATGTGTAAAATCTTCAGGAAGGATAATTTTCCTTTTTTCATGATTTGGCGCTTTAAAATGAATCCCCATGAATGCTTTTATTTTAAATAAAAACAAATCGCTGCAAACCAACAAATCAGTGTTGATACAAAAACTTTTATTTCCACAATATCAAAATCGACAGAGCTAGAGCAATCCAGAGATTAAAATGAATTAAAGAGGGAAAAATGTGACTTTTCTCTAGTTAGTTACACACATGTGGCGTTTTAGCTGCAAAGCTGCAGCAGCGCTGAATGTTAAACGGTGACTGATGACAAACAGGAGAAAAACATGAGAACATGTTGAGTGTTTCCTTCTGACAGCAACAGTTAAAGACAAACTAGAGAAGGAATTCCTTAACTGATAAAAATTGTAAAATCTCCTACAGCTGCATATTTCTGAAAAGGACAAAAAAAAATGTTGCTCCATCCCCAAAAAAAAAAAAAAATTCTAAAACTAAATGACGATATTTGTCATAAAAATAAAAGGAACACTAGAAAAAGAGTGAAGTTGGACAGAGGGATGTTTATCTACAGATTGAGGGGAAACGGGCTGGATGAAGGCGTTCAGAGCGACCCTCAAACAGCCCAGCAGAGGTGACAACAGTCATGGGCCCAGTATCCGCCACGCCTTTCCACCTGTCGCTGCGACTGCTCCGTCAGGCTCGGGCAGTCGGGCAAAAAATCCCGCTCTTCCGGCTGAAGCTGAGCAGAGCTGCAGGACGGGGCGGGTTTCTGTGAGTTCAGGATGGTCCGGCAGCGGGATGGAAAAAAGGAACCGGAGCTCCACGCGTCGAAAGGCTTTACAGAAAATAGTCGGCGACGGGCTTCTTGGAGGGGATGCCTCTGGTCTCCTGCGGCGCTGCCTCGAATATGATGAACTCTCGTTGTAAATGCTCGTCCAGCTCCAAGATGGCTGCCACATTCCCGCATCTGATTGTCACACAGAGAAAAACGTCTTTGGTTAGTCGCTATCCTCTCCTAACTGCAGCGTCTTCCTACGGTTAGCCCCTCGTTCCCTCACCTGTAGCAGTAGTTGGGTGCCGACCACACCGTGAGCACCGTCTCGTTGAAGTGCCACTTGTAGCCCTCCATGACCAGCTGGTGGGCGCGGCATATCATGTGGATGTCGTTGGCGGCGTTGAACTGGGCCACCACGTCGCTCCCGAACAAGTATCCGGCGCCTCTGGGGCTCACCCCCCACCCTGTGGTATCTGAGCGGCGAAACACAAAGACGTCAGGGGAACGTCTCCACCCCCGCATCGCTAACGATGATGGTTAATAAAAAGCAGCAGGTACCTTCGGGGTCGGACCACAGGAGGTCACACATGGGCCCATCGTGAGGAACTTCCTGTTTCCTATCAATGGTCCTGATCTGGTCCAATGTTTGGATGGAGGGCGACAGACCGCCGTGCACGCAGAAGATCTAAACCAGACAGAAAACATTAAGTGGCGGCTCGGTTCCCCAAGATGGCGTCAGAGTCAGAGCTCTTAGGGTACCTCACCTTTCCATCAATGATGGCAGAAAGCGACAAGTAATCAAAGATCTCGGTGCAATATCTCCACACGGTGACCGAGCCGTATTTGCGTAGGCACTCGTCGTAGAAGCCGTAGACCTGCGTGATTTGCCGGGATTCGTGGTTTCCTCGGATTAAGGTTATCCTGTCAGGATACCGCACCTAATGAAACCGAAGCACAGACGCTGTAATATGAGCCGTCTTCTTAACTCTACGTCTTCCACCTTTCACCCCTCTGGGCAAAGCTCAACGCTCACCTTTAGCGCTAGCAGCAGAAGAAACGTCTCCACGCTGTAGAAGCCGCGGTCCACAAAGTCCCCCATGAAGAGATAATTTGTCTCTGGAACATCGCCGCCGACCTTTATGATAAAGAAACGAAAGGAGAGAGCTTTTATTTTAACACACATTTATAAAACAAAAAACATGATGTTTCATGTTTTTCCTCAGACACAGAAACGCTTCCAGGGTAAAGGGAAGGTCCTTCAGAGGCCCATCATTACTTCAACATGTATGAAATGTTCTGCATTCATGAGGCATCTCCAGAATGCTGCAGGGTTTGCTGAAACAAAGCATTTCTCTTCCCGTCATGTCCTCCCACGTTGTGGGGGAGGTGGGGTTTGATTCCCTCCCAGAAGGTAGTCACTATTTACCTACTTTGAAGCGACTAAACTTGGATTGTTTTTGTTAAAAGAACCCCAACTTCTTCCCTCTGTCTAAATATAGGAGCTGTGGACTAGGGAAGAGGATTAGGGCCACTGAAAAAAAAAAGTTAACTGATTTTA